GTGGAAAAAAAGAAAAAAAATGGAAAATGTGGGGAAATTGGTAGGTAGGTGTTGGGGAAGGGGTAGTCGTACCGAGATCCTCATTTAGGTGGTAGGGGGGGGTGTACTGACACCCTCTCTCGGAGGGGCGGGTCGTACCTACACCACCACACATCACGATGCTGTACCCTTCCAGTCAATGTCATTTGCTCCACTGTGCCTGTCGAAATTCGGCAAGCTTTCAGAATGGGAGCGAGAGTTTGAGTTTCTACTCTGTTTGTAATTCGTCGGTCTCCATTGCACGTGCGCTGGCACAGTGCGGAGAACATTTGTCGCCAGGATACGGCTCCTTTATCTGTGGTAGTAAAGACTCACCTTGTACCACTCGAAGTAGAAAAGAGCCAGTACTAGGAATGTGACGAGAACCATGAAAATAGCGAACAGTGCGACATATTTGGCCGAATGCCAGAATTTCGTCGATGCGTCAGCTGTGGGTTCGACGTAGAGAACTTGCTGTAATTCTGGTCTGGAAAGAAATACATTTTATACGAAAAACAATTGTTTCTATTATCATTGAAAGTTCCAATGAATGACCCACGATAATCAGTATAAATAAGAGACCAAACCTTTCTGTCCCTTGCTCAAATGGTCGGCTCAATTCCCTACATTTGCGGATCCGCAGTGGATGATGGGGCCGCTAGAGTCATCATGATTTAATGATATGGTACACGTAAGGTGCCTCTCTTACCTAGGGACGAGATTTACCTAAGGTCTTATCTTCATAGCGGGGGTGAGACTCTTTGATTTCATTCTATGGAAGGGTGGCCACTGTCGTTTCACTCATTCACGTTCCCACCTCACCTTTGCAGTACCTGGTCAGCAGGAATTCCTTTTTTCCAAACATGTGCCAAATATCAGAGCCTTATTTACAGGGGGCCAAAAAAGACACTTTCTTTCTCGACTTTCGAGGCGATATAAGTTACAACTTATTGAATTCTGATTGACATTTCCACCATCAAGTTCAACAACATATTGTACTCTATCACGAACACGCACAGGCCCTCTGGACGAACCCATCAAGAAGATTCTGGCCACGCCAGCAAAGTGAAATTCGGTTGCCTGAGTACCGCAGGTTGTTGATTTCTCCGCCACTATAGAATCACTCCTGTTGAGGTCCGCTCAATCCCAGTAGTCGAGGGTATCAGGTCAGGCTGCACCCTTTTCCATTTGAGTATTCAACGCCTTCGATTCCGCGCGAGAGTTTCTCCAACGCCTTTGATTCCAGTGATGCAGCTTGATCCTGTAGGCATAAGCAAAGTTTTCAAGACGGGTACAGGGACGAAACCTGAGGGAAGATATTCTCCTGCGAGAGGTCGAATGTAACTGTCAGTGTTCACTTAAACAGTTCGTGGGGGGGTCACGAAGAAAATATCGGTTTTCACCATTCCAGAACTTCCCGGTCATACCACCAACCCGCCATGGCGACTGCGGTGAAGATGATATCCTGGACCGTAGCGACGTTGTCGGAGCTGCTCGATGTTGGAGTTCTTCCAGATCAAGAGTACTGGTCTCCAGGTAGCTATCCATGGGTGACTGTACACACAAGAAGTTTTGCCAGGGCTGTTTGGAGTGACGTGAAATTCCATAGGCCTTCTCACAGTCGCTGCAATTTGATGATGGCATCATATGGTGTTCATTCGAAGGTTGATGGACCACAATGCTGCTGCTCCTGCTTATCGAGAAACTTTTGGGTATTTCGCCTGGTACTCGTATATCCACGTCTCTGTCTGTGCTGCGGAATCTTACTGATGATGTGACTTCGCCAAGTATCTTTTTTTCAAACCACCCCCCCCCACATGTTGATTGTTTTTCAACACGGGCTTTGTCCTCTCCTTTTTTCCACTGTTAAGGCAACTACCGGCCGTCAATTCATACTGGTACCGCAAAGTCCAACAACTGTAATCAAAATGAGAGAAGAGGTTCTGCTGAGCGACCAGTTTTGCTTCTAGGCATGGCAAGTCCTGCGGTAACGACCATCAGCAGAACGCTCTCGCCACTAGCTTTTACATAAAACATTCTGTTTTCATCAGTGTTTCGGCCTGTCATTTAGAACGACCTGCAAACCGGTGTTTAAACTCACATTGGGATCTTATAGTCTTTTCTATAAACTTCTCTATATTTCTTACAGAAACCACGACCAGCAGCATGCAGAGTGATTACAGGTGATAAAATTTTCGACGGAGATAGTCGGGGCCCGACTGTACAGTCCGTTGATGGCGCTACACGCCGTACATCCGTCCATGCCGTTCCGATGATGAAAGCGGCGATTCTTCTCGCTTCTGCTTAGGTGCCGGGGCCGTTTCTGAAATCGGAAGAGACTGCTTCAATGGTTGGAAATCATGCGGACCTATCAGCTACCACATAAAGCGGTAAGCTCGACTTGTTTCGCACTCTGACATCCGGCCAACACGGATGTTAGAATGACAACCAGGTGCACACAATGGTGAGCAAACCCAACCAAGTCAAAGCCGTAGTTAATGGCTGCTCCTTGAAGAAGGCGCGCTACCTCCTCCCCCCCCTAGATGACAAGGCCATGCAAACGCACCGCCGGAAATTAGAACCGCAGCTGTGAGCTCTAAATCGCATCGCATCCGTGCGAAGCTTCTAGTCTGATTCCCTTTTCCGTACGCCCATCATATCCCACCGTATGTACGTGCAACTTATGATGGTTGCAGTGAAGCCGTCAATCATTGTGGTGCCGCGAAAGTGAGACAGTCTTCGCCATCACGCACAGGACTACTTGGCAAGGGGGGGGGGGATCCTAGAACTGCTTGAGCGCGGGGTTCGTCTCTGAGGCACGTATCAGAGTGATGTCGTGATTGCGATAGCACCATGGTGAGAATCGTCTTGGGATACTTGTCAGCCTCAACCGCGAGGCCTCTCTCCTTTCGTCTTCCTCCTTACTCATTTCCTTTTTTCCTCTTTCGTCCCCCTTCCTTCTCCTCCCCCCCTCCGGCCCCTTCAAATGATGGCTCAGTGGATACGAACGATGAGAAAATACTTCTATACGCCTCTATACGCTCGCAGTAAGAGCATATGGTAGGCAAGCAGGCGGACAACAAATTTACTTACCAGAAGAGTGTTTCGTAACGCAAGGATGTTTCTCGTACCTGTTTCATCACCGGGCCCTTCTTTTGAATGAAGTTCTGGCTTCTTCTTGTCACTGTCTACTGTAGGTTTGGAGCGCTAGAATGAATAAAAATTTGCTCTGGAGTTCAGAATCGCATCTCATTTATTCGTGGCGGTGTTAGAGCTTTACTTCTTCCGACTCTTGCTATATTGTAATTCCAATATTATGAACACTATATATACTACTATGTATAATCTGCTAACCATATGTAATGCACAAAACCCGGCTATTGAAAGGGCGTGGCTGTGCTTCCCTTTTGAGCATTATGTGGGTGGTTACGTGACATCTTGAACTTTTGTGCATGGTCCCCGCAGACAGATAAAGAACACAGCGTCTGCCAAGGCTCCGAGGCGTTCAAGAAACTATGGCAAGCAAGAAAATGAGGGGAGGGGAGTCCGGGGTGGTAAGCCACTTATTGCACGTGAAAAACTGGAATGTGCGAAGTCACAATGACCATGAAGTGCCACGCGGACGAGAGAGAGCAGAGAAAAACACAAATTCGGTTTAAGGAACTGAGTTCAAGTCCGTAGACCGATTAACCATTGACCCAAAATGGCAACATCTCAGCAGAAGCCCATCCGCTGACACGTCCAAGTGAAGTACGCAGCCACGCCCGCACTATCTCTGGGATATGGAACACAGTCCCCAAAAGTGAGAAATTTTTCGGGATTTCGGGGAGAAGTGGTAGCAAGCTTGTGGAAGTTGGCAAGAGAGATAAGAGGTCAGATAGTACTTAGGTTGGGGGAGTGGCTCGTAGCAGAGGACGAAATCGGGGAGGGAGTCGCATTTTCCGAAAGTTTTCGCCAGTGGCAGGACGTTCCCTGATATGGGATGTTTGTTTATGCGCGTGCGTTTGCCGTGCGTGCGTGTCATGACGTCTATGACTCCCACCCCTATCAAACAGTGGGACGTCGGTTCCAAGAAGTGGAGCAGGTCGTGTGACGGGAACATTATTGGTGGGTGATACAAAGTGTTAACAGCTGATTATGTCCGGTGAGGGGCTTTTTTCAAATCCATCTTATTCTAGCTCGCCATCACTGCCGTGCAGCATCACCTTGTTCTCAGCGGGCTTGATGTAAGCTGTGGGATGGGGATATCGAACAAGATGGTAACTTCGAACAGCGAAATCCATCACGTCGCTTACGATCATCGTACGATCGGTGTAACTCAGGTGTTGGACTCTCAGCAGCTGAGGCCACCTGTAACCTTATCAGCAGTTACCACATATGAGGTCTCTAACCTACCCTGATCTCAAACAAGGGAAGGATCTTTATGAATGATCAGAGGACAGCATTGAACGACCTTATCACTGGTACCCAGAGCTTATTCATCAACCGCATCAACGACATGAGTGAGAATCATTTGAAGGTCCTACTGCTAAGTGACGGGGCTGGATGTCTAAAGCAACTGTGGGACGCTCCTAGGACAGTGGATGCATCAATAGAAGGAAACCTTCAGCGGCACGGATTTCAACATAGCACAGTCGACCGCTGCTTGATGATGGCGCCCGTCAGGAGGGTGTTTGCCGCTGGAGAAACTGCCCGGGGCACCCATGAAGCAGCCTCTCTGAAACGCCCCATCAAATGCAGCGAACAAGACTGTGTGACACTTTGCGCCATCCCTCGATCCGCGAAATGCCTCCCCGCATGTGGCATCGCTGTCTGTTTTCGCATAGCTGCAACACTTTCGTCACTCGAAATGGAGAAATAACGAAACTAGAAACGCGTGAGTTTTGCAACCTAGGCAACCGCGTACTGTAATTGTGCGAGGCAACGGCGCACAAGCGCAATTGCATGTGTACATAGCGTTGCTTGGAGCGTCGTCGGGCGATATCCTGAGCTCTTGCTGGGAATCGATTGCACCTAGAACCTGCTGATTGAACTTGTCCTCATGGTGAATCGTCCAGGGCGCCAGCCTCACCCCTAGGAAGGCTGTGCTCAGGGTGTGCATGAAATTTTTTCGCTTCAAACTCTACTGATGAGTTTTCAACGGGCTAGTAATACATGACTGAGCACCTATTACCTCTTACACTTGATCGCGGGAATTGCCTTTAATGAACTGTTTGAGCTTTCCAATCGGGGTAACTTTGAAGCCAATGGAGAAAGAAGATTGGACGAAAGGATATACTCCGGATCTAGCAGTAACGTTCTCTTGTAGTTCTGATGTGATATGAATCACTGAGATCCGCTGACTATCGAGTGATGTGCAAGACAGCATGTGCTAGCTAGACTTGTAGCAAACGTACATGAGAATCACAAAACTTGCTCACCGTTCCTTCTCCTGAACCTTTTTCGCTCTTCCGTTCTCGGGACCCCTCCTCGCTCAACTGTTCTCGAGATCCTGTCCTACTCGTGCCTTCTTTAGATCTCATCTCGTCTTTGCGTTCACGCGATCCCGTATCAACCGTACCCTCTTGGTCCGGTATTTCGCTTTTCCTTTCTGGAGCTCTCTTTTCGCTCATGCCTTCTCCAGATCCCTTCTCACTCATCCGTTCTTGGGATGCCTTCTCATTTATCTTTTCTCGAGATTCTTTTTCGGCCGTGCTCTCTTGAGATCGTACCTCGCTTTTCCCATCTGAGGATGTCTTCCCGCTCCTGCTTTCTCGCGATCCCTTCTCACCCATTATTTCATGAGATCCTTTCTCATTAATCTGTTCTCGGGATCCCGTGGCAGTTGTGCTCTCGCTACGTCCCTTCTCGTTCATCCTTCCTTGAGATCCATTTTCGCTCATCCATTCTATTGGTCCCTTCTGGCCAGGCCCCTTTTCGTCCATCAGTTCTCGAGATCCTTCCTCGGGAGTGACTTTTCGAGGTACCTTCCGGCTAATCCTCCCTCGAGGTCCATTCCCATCCATCTGTTCCCGCGACTCTTTTTGAGCCTTGGCCTGGCGAAGTGCCTTCTCGTTGTTCTGTTCATGCGATCCCTTCTCGGCAGTCCGTTCTCGAGATCGCTCTCCGCTTTTCCGTTTCCGAGATTTCTTGTTGCTCATTCGTTCTCCGGAGCCCTCCTCTTTGCTCATGTCAGAAGAGTACCAGCCGCACGTCAAGTGTTCAAGGCGAAAATGATGCCAACCGCTTTCATCCGAGCTAGATAGGTTATAAAGCGAGTGAATAAATAAAGGTTAACAATCTTTTATCAATTTTTAAAGGCCTCAGTCAGAAAACATGGTTGGAACAATATTCCAGGGAATTGTTTCTACTTTTTTCGCATCCACTGGACTACTTCAGTTTCGCCATTAAACATTGGCTTGACAGAGAAACGAGGAAGCAAGCAAGCATTCAAGCATTCGCGGAAACCGTCAGGGGGTCGAATTAGGCCCCCTCTCGGGAAGAGTCGTAATTGCAAAGATCAGTACTCAACACAGAGCGATGTAGCTTGTAGAATGGGTGATGGATTTGGAAATGAAGAGACTAGTATATGGCGCATCCCAAGGAGGTGCTGATAAGCACCTCTGTGGAGCAGTTTCCATTCCCTACATGAGAAAAAGTTATACGAAAAGCCTGCTCAGCTTTCTAGATGGAAATGTGGGTTCATACGGGTGGAGGGGGGCGGGAATATTCTCATGATGCAGTTTGAAGGCACGCTCCGCGCTAAGGAGCGTTGGTGGTGGCGGCGAAATGTTAAGGAAAGTTGCCAAGGGACTCGTCTGTGAGGAGAAAATGCCAAAGAGAACGTCGGAAACGAAATTGATATGACCCCTTTAGCCTCAAACCATTGCATGAAACCGCGTGTTGGGGCGACTCCAGTTGGCTGATTCCAATGAACCCTGTGACTCATGAAAGGCAGTGTAGCATTCATTCCGTGCTACTTGCTCCGTATCATCGCTTTTGGCTGGAAGGCGGGCTCTAGAGGCGGAATCACTGGGAGAAGGGAGGTACCATTGGAGCAATGTCGCGCCATAATTCCTCAATAACTCCTACACCATACAACCTTCAGCCACAAAACGGCACAACGTTGTCCACTGCGGACCACGCTACCCTACGCAGTCTTGTACATTTTCTAGGCCATTGCGGACCGTTTCTTCAGGCTGACTTTCGAAGAGGAATCCGCGACGAGCGACTCTTCGCTATGACTACAGCAGAGATGCTGTACTCATTAGAAAAAGAAATTTCTAGTTTTGAATGCCATGTACATCTCCGTTGTATATAATGTCATAACGGAATTATATCCACTGATGAGTAAAAAACTCGCGTACACCAAAAATCTCCTCGGGATTCTCTGGCGAGATGCAGTGATGCAAGCTAGATGAAAACTGCAGTGTGTTTTGTATAGATCGTGCCGTTTCTCAACGAAGTTCTGCTCTTTTCAAAAAAAAACACTGTCTGAATGCAGCGGTCCAATAGCGCTCTCGTCTTGATGCGCGACGCAGCCGCGGTACGCTCAATGCCTCGGCTTCGTGTTGTTTCGTCTGGACGACGTTGTTGTTAGGTTTCTCAAACTTCACTTTTTTCCTTCTGAGAAAATTAATCTCTTCATTTAGTTGTCTGTGCTTTTCTTCAATCGCTTTCGTGAATGTTCCTAGCTGCTCAGATTTTCACTCACAACTTCCCAGTGAAATTCGCATAACACACTAATATATGTACAGCTCCAAGCCTAAACACAGCCAGATACCCCTACACACTCCACAGCCACTAGGGCGGA